TCTCTCTCTCTCTCTCTCTCTCTCTCTCTCTCTCTCTCTCTCTCTCTCACATTCTCTTAAAATTTGTTTCATAATGAGTCCTGTTGTATTGCTTGAGTCTTGCTTGCGTCGAATGTTAAGATATGAATCATTGTACCATACTGAAAGGATGAATTTTAATATGCCATTACAGGGCAATAAGCTTGACATAGAAATGAAAACAGCATTTATGATAGATTTCTTAATGCTTTTAGACAACATGCGTTGTCCAGTCCTTGTTGAATGATTGTATCTGACAATGATGTACATTTGTAATTGCTTGTGCGATGTAAGGTGGCATGGCTATAAATTTTCTAAACTACTTGCATGTCGATGAATTCTAGTTATTAGCCATGCGAGCTTAAAGTGATTACGTCACTGTAAATAGTAAAATTTAAAAAAAAAAATTCCACTTTTTCACAAAATGTAAGTAATTTTGTTCACTTTTATGGTTAAATTGCTGCATTATACTTCCTATTTTACTATATTGTTTAATGTAAACATACACTCGTGACTCATACATTGCCCATAGCAAGCAATTAATGTCAGGATCATAATATCAAATCGTCCAATTTTTATAAATTTTTAAGTAGTTGAGAAACAATCTTATCAGGTAAGAATTTGACGATACGTTTAGTCCCATTAGTACTTACGTTTAATGTAAAAAAATGGCAGTAACATTTTTCAAATATACACCATAGAAAATTCGTGACGTAGTCAATTCAAGTAGAATATATAATGCACGCTCGTCTGATTCAAAAGTTTGCTCAATGTCTTTAGTGTGTAGAACTTTCTAAGGCTGATGGTTTGAACGGCCTACCCCTTGCAAGCAGCTTGAGTTTCACACGAGTATATAAACTACTGCCAGGAGGCAGCAGGACTTACAACCCAGGTTTATCCCCAGGAATTTCAGAAAGCATGGATTTATGTGGACAGACGGGGGAGGTGTTGTCCATGGATTTAAGAAAATAAAAATATATTTTTTATGTCATTCTTGGGCACTTTATTTTCACATAGTGAACTTGGAAAGTACGAGTAAGTATTTCTCGAGAAAAATTTCAATTACGATTAGTAGCTAGCCTTTAACTTACTATTACGATAAAAGTGTGCTGCCTAGCCGGTTTGTGGCAGTGACTCCCTGTCTATATTGGTCTTACTCATGTGTGCGTGCGTGCGTGCGTGCGTGCGTGCGTGTGTGTGTGGGAGGTAGGGGTAGCAGTTTAGGGCAGCAGGCCCAATCACTGTCCATATTTAATTGTCCTGCGTTTGATCTACCAAGTAGAATCTGTTTCCACGGTGTAACGATACGTTTGTTCTAACAGACGGAAGAGTGTCGTTGCCGTCAAGCAGTCCAATATCACCGATCTCACACGACGGCCACCATCAGCACCACCGCTACCACGGAACGCCGAAGGAGGCTGGCATGATTAAATACGGAGAGCTCATCGTGCTCGGGTATGTACCGCTGACCACGTCGTCGGCATCGTTGTTGTTGTTGTTGTTGTTGTTGTTGTTGTTGTTGTTGTTGTTGTTGTTGTTGTTGTTGTTGTTGTTGTTGTTGTTGCATGGTTCGCACCGTCCTTGAAAAGTCCTTGAATTTGAGGGGAGTCTTTGAAAAGTACTTGAATTTAGTAAATGTTTATTTTGTCCTTGAAAAGTCCTTGAATTTCATGAAAATGTTCTTGAATTTGTAGAAAGAATCCTTGACTGTAATAAAAAGAAATTTTGTACCATCAATAATGTGCAAACTTCAATAAAAATTGCGTTAAATGAGCTTAAAAAGCTATAGACACGATAGACAGTTAAATGATGATCACAAATTACAGTAAGTCAGTAAAATCAGTCAGTAAATCAATGTATGTTGTAGAAGTGACAGTGTTTAGAAGGGTTTATTAATGTGATCCAGGTTTTAGAGGTGACAGTGATTAAGAATGTGGTTATTATTAAATTAATCCAGGTATGTTTTGTTCTGTGTATGAATTGCGATACCGTGTTCATGAAATGAAAATGTCTGATAAAATGTCCTTGAATTTCCGATAAAATGTCCTTGAATTTCCGATAAAATGTCCTTGAAAAGTCCTTGAAGCCCTCCTGTATGAACCATGTGTTGTTGTTGTTGTTGTTGTTGTTGTTGTTGTTGTTGTCATGTGTGGAGGTGGCCTTGGAGTTGGGGGCTTGGAGAACTGCCAACTGCAGAGGAGCACTACGTGAGAGCACCACCTAGGTTGTTTGTAAAAGGTGGCATCATCGGAATGGATATGAAGCATGCCATACCTGTTGACAGGCCAGCTTGTTGCTGCCTGTCTGCCTGTTGCCTGCCTGCCTGCCTGCCTGCATGCCTGTTGCCTGCCTGCCTGCCTGCATGCCTGTTGCCTGCCTGCCTGCCTGCATGCCTGTTGCCTGCCTGCCTGCCTGCCTGTTGCCTGCCTGCCTGCTTGTCTGCCTGCCTGCCTGATGCCTGCCTGTCTGCCTGCCTGTTGCCTGCCTGCCTG